GAAGAAAAAAATCCTCGAATGTACTGATCACGATTTACGTCGTTGTATATTTATATTCTTTCCCGTTTAGCATTTCAGTTTTATTTCAGCATTCAATACGATGACTGTGCTAAGGGCATTGTGACGTATTTAATTTTTACGTATAAATTTATAATTCGGCTATCAACATTTTTTTGCAAATTTATCGATATTCAACTTGAATAGCAAAACATTAAATAAATTTATCGTTACTTAAAATACTAGAGTAATTACTATCTACTTGTTTGTTTATATGTTCTGTTAAGCAATAAAATGTCGACTTTATCAAATTTCATTAGCGATAAACTCTGATCCGTACTCGATTTTCTTCATAAATAAACTTTAAAAGAACCCTGTGATTATATATATATATATATATATATATATATATATAAATTAAAATTGTTTAAACTGTTAACATTGTCTATGTATAATATTAATACTGCTAGCAATATAAAAAATTACGAGACACCTTACAGAAATCTAATCAATACTGAAAGACAATAATTAATTATTTAATTTAAGTACTAAGAACATTGTTGATCGATACTTTCAGTACTCCAAATAAGTAATTAATTACTGTCTTTCAATAATAAGTTGGTATTAAACTAGTATCAGTATTTCTGTAAGAGTGTTCAAAATTAAAGTTATAATATTAATAAAAAGTGTTTTATGTATTATAATTTCAACATTTATAATAATTTCCACAAATTAAAATAATTTATCGTCATATGTGTTATGAGTAATACGCATTATATTAAATAGACTATAATACGAGTAATTGGATATTCGCGATTTCTATCAAATCACGCAGAAAACGAATACGGTTCACTGCACATATACAGAATTTTGTGAGAAGTTTTGAAGGCTAAATTTTTATTTGTATTATATACTTCGCGCATTTTAACGACTCGTGCAATATGATCAGTTGAAATTAAACGTATAATTTACCGGTTTTTATGGCAGTTAATCGTCGTTTGTGGAAATCTGCAATGGAGGACGAACAGATAAAACGAAAAAAAAGTAACGAAAATATCTATATGTACGATGAAGTGAAAGAAGGCGCGGAAGCCTACTTTGGTCGAAGCCGTCCTTGACCTCCTCTATACATAGATGCAATACGAACAAACCCAGCTGGAATCCGTAGTAAAATCTGATCAAGCTCTTTTTAAATAATACAAAATGAAAAATGTATCATCTTCCGTTGTGAATGAAGAAAGCGTCTCGTCGATGATAGACAGAAAAAAATAGCGATAAAAGACTAACTGACGTAATCCCTTATCAAACATTCGGTTTATTATCGCGGTATTTTCCGAACATTTGTAGCTCGTTGCGATACGAATCAACATATATACTTTCGAAGTTATCAGTTTGAGAACATTTCTTAGAAAAACATAATAAATAACTCTCCTTTCTTTCTACTGCCTGTTTTAGGTTTCGAGAATAAGGTTTAAATTTAATAAATTTTTTTGAAAGATTTAAAAAATATAATAACATAGCTTTTTAAATATTTCTATTCTTCAGCAAACTCGCTGCTATTGGTGTATTCTTTTAGATAATTAATAGCAGCGAGCACTCACGGATCTGTTCCACAACAGTTGAGTCTGCTGAAAGCGACCAACGTTTCAATATATGACAGTGAACAAAACGTTACTGCCAACTAGCAAAATTTAAGTTGTGTTATTTTAAGTATATTTGCACATTTACATTCAATATACATTTGACTATATATTATATATATATATATATATATATAAATTGCAACTACATATGCTTTTGTTTTTTAATATATTGTAATCTTTAATTTGTTTTTAAGATTTCTAATATCGCCAAGCAGATCTCATATCAACAGCATCAATATAGTCTAATTACGCTCTTATCGTTAACATTCAAGTGCAGATCTTAATTTTATTTGCCTTGCATTAAAATAACAGTAAATATACTCGAGTGACACCGATTATTAGTTTACTTTTTTCATTTCATTTTTGTGTTTGACTGATTCTCTTCTATTTAATTTTTCTTAGCGATATTTTATAATTTTCCGTAAGTTGTTTGTTATTTATTTCATTATTTTTACTGATATTCTATGCATTTTTGTGTGTATGTGATATCTTTGTAATAAGATGACGATATTTAGATCCCTTCTTCTATAAGAGAATGGCGTGAGGAAAATAATTTCTTAATCTTAAAAAGGGCATTGACAAGATATTATTAAAGACGCTCGGCGCTTATTGGAAATCGTGTAACTGTTAAAATTTATAAGTGTTCAAGAATAATAAATTAATAATATATACGATACTAATTTCATAATTTATTAGTTTTGTAGGCATGTGTATATATATATACTATATATATATATTTAAAATTTAATAATATTCGATTTTTATTAAAAACTGTATTTGTTGTGTTATTATCCCAGTTTGATTATCAATAGAGACGAGAACTGCAGAGAAAAAAATTGTAATTTTTTGGTAATATATAAAATATTACAGCATTAAAAGTATGCATACTTCATTATATAATAAAGAATCAAGAGTTTATTAATGTATTATCGAAATATTTTTGTTAATAATCATACATATTTGTAAATAATTGTCGATAAAGTCATCGTTCTTCAATCATCTCCGGGCCCTTTGGCCTTATTGATAGTTACGAAAATTTGCCCAGAACCGAATGTCTTTAATAGTATCTCGTCGTTAAGGATCTCTCATATACAATGTAGATACATAAAACGTATTTATGTTGGGAATAAATAAGATTTGTTTGAAATTTATAATCTACTTAATTGCTGAGGAGTATTTAATTATTTTCGTTCTGAATTTGATATCAAAGAATTATCCAAGAGTATCATTAATTAAAGTATCGACTTCGAAAAGTAATTTTTTTAATCAAATGCACAATGTATTTCAATAGCGCAAATTATCTTCAATGTTTTGTTTCAGTCGATGTTAAATTATTTTAAAAATAACATTACATGTTATCTCTCATAATGATACATAATGTGTGTGAGTAGAAGCGAGATTATAAATAATTAGGATGCGTGTTGCATTTAAACAATCTCGATGAGACCTTTCTTTAAAGTTGTATATATTTCAAATCAATATCTACTGAGGCTTTTTCAAATCAACATCAAAGAATAGGATTCTTGCTATTTTCTTGAAATGTGCGTAAGGAATATTTAAATTTACATGACGGTACACGCGAATAACTCAAATACGTGTGTCTATTTATATTTACATATTACTTATAAATTTAAATGTATGTATACGTTACTTTTATTACAGATCTGTATATATTATTCATTTCTCTTATTATCACACGTATATTAATTCTAATTTAATATTATTTTAAGGAATGCGTTACTCGAAAGTTTTTCGACTTATTACTCACATTGTTGTCTTTGTCAGATAATTTTTATTATCTATACAATTTCTACATATTTTTTTAATTTTATATTTTACTTAGATTACTATTCTGGTTATAAAAAGTTATCATATGTGTAAACAAACATATTTTATTATATATTACATTAACATTAAATCGTGCTCTTTTATTCGTGTTCGTCAGAAACCTGTCTTGTAAAGCGAAAGCTTCGCAATTACACACCTTAACTTTGACCATATTTCGTTAATCACGCGATCATTATAATTTCACAAAATCGCCCATTGCGGTAACTCCTGTTTTAACAGCAATACGCAATCATTTACGAATAATGTGTCGCAATGATGTCAATATCAGGTTTTTCAATGCAAAGTTGTTAATATTAGCTCTTCCTTTTCTTTTATGATATTATCTTAAATATAAATTATATAATATAGCTTTACGATTACACACTCTGTTGTACATACATTACTTTAAAACTAGAAATATTTTATCTTTTATTTCAAACATCTAATGATTTAGTGCGTTGGTTGTACGGTTACAATTTACGAGCAACATTTTTACGTATTTGAAGAACGACAAAATGTAGCAAAAAAGAACTCGACTTAAATGTCGAGTAAGAATAAAGTTAAAACATCAGTCGAAGCATGTAGCACTTTTTGATGTCGATTCAACAATAATTTGAAAGTATAAACTTTAGAAATAAAAGACAGAACAATATTCCAAAACGTTGTGTATAAAAATATATTTAGAAATTATTTTAAAAAATATATAAGTAATAATCGTTATTATAAAATTATAATTAAGTTATAATTTCGAAAGATTACATATTAAAATTATTGAAAAACATTGACAGGCTATAATGATAAATCTATTATTTATTTGATATTTCTTTCTCTAAAATGTAGATATTTATTACATTTTTTAACTAACATACAGTGAAGATCTAATAAATGCATATTAGTATACAATACGAAGATTCTCCATCTTAATTAGTCGCTTAAAAATCTGAAGATTGATCAATCCTAATAATCTTGGTCTTTACAAACCTAAGACACCTGCTGACAATGACCCATGATTTTTGCTCGGTCATCGCGGCGCGCAAGAGCTTCGGCCTGCAAATCCTGACGAGGATGTTGGTGCTCATTGTTGCGGAATTTTAGCTTGATTCTCGGGAAAGATCTCGATTTTCGTCTTTTGCGCGTTTCGAGAGAAGCCGTGGAAGAGAAAGAAAAGAAAGAAACAAAAATAGAGCAACACCGAGTTGAAAGTACGTGGGAGCAACGCACTTTGAGAACTGGTCGACAAGGAGTGAGAGTGGTACCATTTATATAGGCGCCCCTCCCTAATTGCTATCGGCGCCTCAGGAGGCCCGACGAGTCCGCGACTTGTCTCGCCTCTTCTAAGCCTCTCTACATGCGAAGACATGCGAAAGATTCCACAACGCGGTGGCAATAAACAAACCACTCGGTATCATCTGTTGTCGCCCACCTGATAGGACTCCGATTATTATTGAATACCGATACCTTTCAATTAACGTACTGTTTGTCCGTGCCAAATTAATTTGAGACAGAGAGAGAGAAAGAGAGAGACTCTCATATGCTGGAAAAACGGAAATCTTCTAACAGAATACATGTATATTTACTCGTATATATGCAAAGCAATATAAAAAATGTAAGAAATCTAATTAAGATCAATTAAATTGAAAAAACGACCATGAGTTAGATGTACATTAATATAAATACGATTTATTATCTTATTTAACTAAATTGACGTATTATTATAACAGAACGTTTCGGACTTTACTTAGCCCTCTTCAGCCTGAATACATATAAAAATTTACGTAAATGTAAAAATTAAAATAATAAATAATAATAAATATACATAAATTAGCGTATATGTTAATAAGCAAGAAACAATTGTATTCATCTCTTGCAATAATCTCTTCTAATTTGATAAGTGTTTAATAATTACTGCTGGCTGAAATTTATGGATATAATTACTTTATATTTCTGCGAAAATGATGCTATATAACTGATGCAAATCATTACACAATTAGTATATGGTTAATTAATTCCATGATTTAAAAGACAGCATCAATCAGACACAACAACAGATGGAAGCACATGGTGTTATTATAATTTCATCTCCCTCTATTTCGAGAAGAAACAGTGAATTATAAAGAAGAAACTATAAATCCTGTCCAGTTATCATGACTACTTCGGTGAAATCATCATGTCATTAATATTTTACTGCTATCGTATTATGATTAATCGTAAGAATTATAATTTTGTATTACATTTGTACTACCATAACTCATTATTACCCTTTTGTAACGTAATATTTTGGAAGCATAAATTTTAGTATACTTATATGTGTACATTTTAGAGTATAAAAATACACTTTTAGAAAAAAACAAGTTAAGATAAATGTTACTTTCGATATTAATATGTAATTGGTATCAATAATTATATTTAAAAATTTATTTTTAGCAACGAGACTTATGGAAGTGTCCCTCTCTGATCTTTATAAGCTTTGAATATGTTATTTTTGCATCTTTAAAGCACATGTATGTATATCAATTATAATTAAAAGGGTTAAATGAAAAGGTTAGTGTCAGATTGTAACAGCTACCCTCGGTATTATATCAAAAAGACTATTATGCAAATTTGATGTTGATTGCATAGAGGAGGAGTTAATGAATGATTTTTAGAATATAAATAATACTTTTTCGTTGGTTTTATATATACATATATATATATATAAAATATATTCAATAACATTAAGAAATTATTCAAGAATAAAGGTTTAAGAAAGAGAGAGAGAGAGAGTGTGGCGTCTTCTCTCGAATTAACTTTTATAAAATGTGTGTAATATATATATAAGAATAACATTCTTCTTGCTTATTCATGCAGATCAAAATTAAAATAAATAAACAAGCAGTGACAAGACGAGTTAAAAGTTGTTGAGACATTTCGTGGTTGAAATGTCAATTGGTCGAATCACAATATATAGGCGGAAATGAAAGAAAAGAATTAAAATGTGTCATGTGCGGTTGATACGTTTATTGAATAAAAAATGCTAGTGTGTAATGGAGCATTCAAAAGAGCAATTGTTCAAGTACTTAATTGTCGTGAGAACTCTGTGCTGATAGTACGAACGTGGTCATTAACTTCCGTAAAACTAAATGATACCGTTCTGAATTTTCTCATTAAATTTACAAATAAATATTGAATGAATATAGAGAATTGGCTATTAAATTTTAAATGTCAATTATAAGTACTAATATATTTAAACATTTTGATTAAATCTTTTAATTATTATTATACTTATTTATTTAATTAATTATTAACATACATATTAGTTGCCAATATTAATTATTCATAAAAGATGAACACGTAATAATAATAAAATACATATATAAAGTTGTCAATAGCTATTCAATAGCAGCTAAACGTAAACAAATATTGAAATTATTATAAAAATGACTAAAATATTAATTTATTTAAAGAAATTGTGTACTTTATGTATAATATTTAATGCATTAATAATTATACTAGACTAACGTAATTATAATATAAAATAAGATAGAAGAAAGCAATAAGAATAGTTACGTACGGCATAAAATAATTAATTGAATAAAAAAGAGATGATGTTATAAATAATAATATAAAATTATCTGAATTATTATTTAATATTCCTACAAATATTGATTCGCTAATTAATGTATAACTGATTGATATTTGAATAAGCACGTAAGTATGGTATGTACTTTGCATTTCCGTGCAAATCATTTACTTGTTTAATCAGTTCACAGACAATGTTTACGCAACGCGTTATGCACGCGATTAACACATACGAAAAAATGCTATGTCAAAATATTTGTCCATGACAGGTAGATGTTACCGTTAAAACATGTTCAAATTGATTAAGTCGAGATTTCGGTGAGACAATATAATTAGTCAACCGAATAAACAAGTGGCTCAAAAAATGAAAATAAAACAATGATAACGGATAAACTTCCGAAAACGTCCAACGTTCGATATTCATTTGACCTTAAATGTTTGTTTTCGTTGCGCTGAATTTTGGTATGCAAATGATCTAGTTGACGTGGAATGTTCTATATATTTTAAAAAATTTGCAAATATTCAAAATCTTACAGATTAGTACAAATTAAATATGATAGCACAACACAACGTATATGTATAATATGAAATTATAAAATCGATCATTATGTCAATGTGATAATTGACAAACGAGAGTTTAAGTCTAACAAATTAGTATTATTTTAGTATATTAATAGTTGTTTATCTTAATTTATCGCGCGCGCGCGTATATGCTGATGACGTTTTTAACTGTTAGCGATTGCAAAATCATGATGTATCGTTGAACTCTCTATCGCTACTTTTTACAGATAAAGAGATCTCGTCTTTCACAAAACTCTAACAAATAACGATATTTAGGAAAGTTTATTTCGTAAACAAACCGTAAATATATTATAATAAATTTTAAAAAAATAAAGAAAAAGTATTACAAAAAATAATTTTTAATCATTTAACACAATTTCTTCACTATTACTTATTAAGAATTTTTTAAGTTTGTCAACATTTTATGATTTTCCTTTATAGAATAAAAATTCATATCGATAAATATACTAAAAACAGAATGCATTATTTAGATATGCACCTTTATTTTATAAGTATTTATATAATATTTTATATTAATTATGTTTTATAACACACACACACATAAAGCATGAAGGTAGGATGAAATATAGATTACAATATCCTGTGTGTGTGTATTTTATGAGTTCTTTCCATATATTATTATCATTTTCGAGATGTATACTTGTCTCTATTGTAGAATATACATATATTATATAAACATATATTCAATAAATGTCAATAAAAAAAATTTTCTTTTAATATCTAATTTTATTTACTAGAACAATAAATTATTTAATATTTTATTAATATCAATATAGGGTCATTAAACACAATATAATTTATTATGTGTGTGTGTTGTGTGTGTTGTGTATGTTAAAGTTAAAGATTAGTACAAATCGATTGAAAAGTGTTTTCTTAGAAGAAAACGTCTGTACACGCATATTTCTATCGAATCTACTTTTTAGTCAATTTTACTTAGTTATTCGCTACCATAGACAGCGATCGATCTTCTTATTCCCTGTTTTATACGTTATTTGCTAACATTATACCATTCGAATCTAGATCTTTCTTTCAAACAAAGATATTTATTTAAAGCTTCTTTCATTCTATTACATTTGTGTCAAAAAATCTTTTAATCTTATATTCTTTTTCTGTTTTAAAAAAGAGACAGAAATAGATACATCTATCAATAAATCCTATTAAATTTAAAATAAAAAAACAAATAATCTGAAGAGACAAGTTAATGTGTGCAATATATTTGTGTAGATAAAGCGTAACTAATAAAGAATGTCGAGCTAATTACTTTGACTGATGAACAAACATAACATACATGAGAAAAATAATTTTATAAGCGATACAATGTATGTTGATAATGCCTATTAATGATAGATAAGCTTCACATGTCGACAATACAGTATCTCGCTTTTCAATATCATTTCATTATTTAAAATATTTTTATCTTACAATTTTATTTGTTTAAAATATTTATAGATATTCCATAATAAAAAAAAAGTATTAATTCCAGTAGACAATGCTTAAGTATTTTTAGGATAAATTATATTTTTACTGAGAATTGTAACTCCAATTATACACACCTGTAGCTTTTCCAATCAGAAATTAATCTCGTAATTGTATTCTGATAAAATTCAAAGAACGGAAAAATGAAGTTCAAAAATATGCTTTAACGATAAGTTATAAAGCAAATTAATGTTACAAGCAAAATTAAATATCTTTCATAGCTTTATCGAAACACAACGTGATAAGACGTTAAGCAAACATTAATTTTATTTTATATGAGAAGAAAATTGATACATCCTTAATCTTATTCTATTTCTAATTTTTAAAATATTATATACATAGATTATACAGGCACATAAAATAAAATTTAATATTTGATTAATCCGGAAATTAGACTGTAGTATTCTTATATGTATTTCGATGCTTTGAAACCGAATCTGAAACCGAATCGTCCGAATGAATGAACTAATAATTAGTCACGATTTCTTACTTGCTACGTCAACAATGTTCACAGTTGTTGCTTAAAAATAAAATAGTAGAGAGGGCGCGTGTGTGCAGACTCTTCGCAGCTAGAGTACCTTTAATAATAGCGTTTTTCCTTT